CATTTCATGAAAGTAAGAAATAAATAAAATGAAAAAGTGTGACAAGTGTTAAAGAGAATGGATTTAATAGAGCACATCCATTGTACATTGGTGCAACTTTTTTGTGAAAAACATTGACCTTATCTGGTGAAGTTGCATATTAATATGCATTACTCTAAAGTGGCCACTGCCCTTAAGCACTAAGAAGTATGTACAGGCATACCTTGGAGATATTGTGAGTTTGATTCCACACCACCACAATAAAGTGAATATCACAAATTTTTTGGTTTCCCGGTACATATAAAAGTTATGTTTATACTGTTGTCTATTAAATTTGCAATAGCATTATGATTTAAAAATGTATATACCTTAACTTAAAAATAATTCATTGCAAAAAAATAGTAACAATCATCTGAGCTTCCAGGGAGTCATAATGTTTTCTCTGGTAGAGGGTCTAGCCTTGATGTTAATGGGAACCAAATGATCAGAATGGTGGTTGCTGAAGGCGATGTGACTCTAGTAGTTTCTTAAAATAAGACAACAATGAAATTTGACCCATTGATGAACTCTTACTTTTATAAAAGATTTCTCTCTAGCTTGTGATGCTATTTGCTAGCATGTTACACACAGTAGAACTTCTTCCAGAATTTGAGTCAGTCTTCTCAAATCCTACTGCTGCTTTATCAATTAAATTTATGTAATAATCTAAATCCTTTGTTACCATTTCAACAGTGTTCACAGCATCTTTACCAGGAGTAGATTCCATCTCAAGAAACCCCCTTTTTTTGCTTATCTCTAAGAATCAATTCCTCATCCTTTCAAATTCTATGATGAGATTTTGGCAATTCAGTCACATGCAGGCTCCACTTATAATTCTACTTCTTGCTATTTTTATGACATGTGCAGTGACTTCCCCCACTGAAGTCCTGAACCCTTTAAAGTCATCCATGAGGCTTAGCATCAACTTCTTCCAAACTCTTGTTAATGCTGATATTTTGACCTCTGTCCATGAATTATGAATGTTCTTAATGACACCTAGATTATTAAATCCTTTTCAGTGGTTGTCAATTTACTTTGCCCAGATCCCCAAAATGAATCACTGTCTATGGCACCTATAGCCATATGAAATGTATTTCTTAAATAAGACTTGAAAGTTGAATTACTCCTTGATCAATGAGCTGCAGAATGTATGCTTTGTTTGCAGGCATGAAAACAACATTCATCTGTTTGCACATCTCCCTCAGAATATTGGGTGACCAGGTACATTGTCAATGAAAATAACATTTTGAAAGGAATCTTTTTTTTTTTTTTTTTTTTTTTTGAGAAGTGTGTCTCTATTGTGGACTTGAAATACTCAGTAAACCATGCTGTAAAGAAATGTGCTGTCGCTCAGGCTTTGTTCTACCATTTATAGTGCACAGGTAGAGTAGCATAATTCTTAAGGGCCCTAGGATTTTCAGAATGGTAAATGAGCATTGGCTTCAACTTAAAGTCATCAGCTTCATTAGACCCTAACAAGAGAGTCAGCCTGTTCTTTGAAGCTTTGAGGCCAGGCATTGACTTCTCCTTTGTAGTTATCAAAGTCCTAGATGGCATCTTCTTCCATTAGAAGGCTATGTTGTCTACACTGAAAAATTGTTGTTTAGTGTACCACCTTTATCAATAATTGTAGCTAGATCTTCTGGATAATTTGCTACCACTTCTTCCTCAGCATTTGCTGTTTATGCAGCTTCTTTCCTTAAGCTTCAGGAACCAACATCTGCTTGCATCAAACTATTTTTCAGCTTCCTCACATCTTTCAGCCTTCATAGAATTGAATAGAGTTAGGAGCTTGCTCTGGATTTGTCTTTAGCTTAAGGGAATGTTGTGGCTCCTTCGATCTTCTGTCTAGACCACTAAAACCTTCTCCATATCAGCAGTAAGGATGTTTCGCCTTCTTGTTTGTGTATTCACTGCAGTAGCACTTTTAATTTCCTTCAAGAACTTTGCCTTTGCTTTTACAACTTAGCTTACAGGCACAAAAGGGCTAGCTTTTGGCCTGCCTATGCTTTTGACATGCTTTCCTCATTCAGCTTAATAATTTCTAGCTTTTGATTGAAAGAGAAATGCAACTCTTTGTTTCACTTGAACACTTAGAGGACATTGTAGGGTTGTTAATTAGCCTAATTTCAATACTGTTGTGTCTAAGGGAATTGAGAGGCCTGAGGACAGGAAGAGAAACAGGAGAATGGCTGGTGGGTGGAGCAGTCAGAACACACACAATATTAGCGATTAAGTTCTCTGTCTTATATGGGCGTGGTTCATGGCACCTCAAAACAATTACTATAATAACTTCACAGATCACCATAACAGATGTAATAATAATGAAAAAGTTTGAAATATTGTGATACTTACAAAAATGTGACACAGACACCAAGTGATCATGTGCTGTTGGAAAAAATGGCACTGATAGACTTGCTAGAAGCAGAGTTGCCACATTCAAGTTGTAAAAACTGCGGTATCTGCTAAGCTCAATAAAGTAAAGAGCAATGAAATGAGGTATGCCTGTACAAGAATGCACTTTTTGCAAGAATGTAAAGCAAACCAATTGAAATGCCCATTGACATGGATTTTAAAAGACATATAAGTGGTATTTAACACAGCAGTAGGAGTTAAAAGAACTTCAGCTACATGTGGAAAAAGCTTCAGCTACAACATAAATGAATCTGAGTACCAGTGCTAACTGGGAAAAGTAGAAAGACACATACCGATCATGTCAGACACATGGTAACTCAGTATTCAGAATAGCGCTCACCTTTGTAAATTGGAAAGAGCAGTGCTATAGGGAAAGAAAACAGAGAAATATGTAAATTATTGGAAATGTTCTACCTCCTGGAATGGGCAACTGGTACGTATGTGTTTATTCTATTGTACATATATTAGTATAAGCAAAACAATAAGCATTAGAACCGAAGAAAATATTTGCAACATGTCTCACAAAGGTTAAATATCCACAATATAATAAATGAGAAAATGCATGAAAGTTTCCTGTTCTAAATATCCATGGATATTATAATCAGATGATGGGTTTTAGTAATTTTTATACATATTATATTATATTTATGCAGTGTTGGTATTACCTTGACAAAACTTTTTTAAATGATGCAAATTTAAATGCGAAGATTGCTATAATATGCAAAGAGTTTGTAAAGTATTATTAAAAGACAACTCGCCCAGCACAGTGGCTCACACCTGTAATCCCAGCACTTTGGGAGGCCGAGGAGAATGGATCACCTGAGGTCAACAGTTTGAGACCAGCCTGGCCAACATGGTGAAACCCTGTCTCTACTGAAAATACAAAAATTAGCCAGGCATGGTGGCGGGCACCTGTAATCCCAGCTTACTTGGGAGGCTGAGGCAGGAGAATTGCTTGAACCCAGGAGAAGGAGGTTGCAGTGAGTCGAGATTGCACCATTGCACTCCATACTGGGCAACAAAAGCAAAACTCCATCTCAAAAAATAAAAATAAAAAATAAAAAGACAATTCAATAGAAAGAAAGGTGCATCTTTGAATGTTCCTTGCATAGGAGAGGTTACACATCTCCAGGAAATGTATAAAAATATGTTCAACTCACTGGTAAACAGGGAAGTGTGATTTTACAACAAATAAAAAGACATTGGTTTTCACTCATTATTACGGAAATATCATAAAGTTGTTCATATGTAGTGTTTTGTGGTTGCAAAGAAATGGACCCTTGCGTATTTGACAGTGGGAGCCATTCAGAGGGATATAATGATGTAATGGAATATTTTTCTCTAGAGTGGCCTTCAAAACACATGCGCATGTTTACACAAATGTTCTTCAAATAATGTTAAATACAACACTTTTTTGTAATAATGAGACACCAGAAAAAGCTTAAAAAATTCATAAAAAGAAATCATTTATTGTATCTTGTAGTGTGTGCACTTATTACAAAACATGATGCAGTGCTAAAAAATAATAATCTCACAGAATGCCACACGTGACATCTGCATATGTTATACACTGATACACAAAGTTCTCTAAGACATATTTGAAGTTAAAATAAAACCACACAAGTTAATGAACAGTATGTATAGCACAATTTTATTCATGTTGAACATATATGTGTAATACAGACATGTATGAATATTTGTATATATAAGTACGTAGAAAAATTCCTTGGATAGTTGCATATTATATCACTGTCAGTTGTTATCTTTGGGACAAGGGAGTTGTAGGGACACATACCAAAATTTCTGTCCTGTTTCAATTTTTTATTGCAATAAAGTAGGCTATGACTGTATAGCTGGCTACATTACCTGCCTTTGTTGCTTTTCACAAGGTAGGTTGCATTATTAAGCACACTGCATGCAGTAACAGCAGAAGCAGTGGGTATTTATGGCAGCTGACCCAGCAATTAGGCTGGAGTGTTCCTGGATGGAAAACGCTGTCAGCCAGGTCAAAATACAAGGTGAAGCCTGACTCCTACTTGCAGATTCTCAGTCAAAAGAAAAGTTGGCTAGAACCCCAGTTGCAGTCTGATCAATTTCTCCCAGTAATGGAGAAAGTACAAAATTGTTAAAGACATATTTACTGACATAACTGTCACATTTATATATTCACTCAAAAGATAATTTTGGATTGAAGAAATTTATTAAGTGAAATAATGTAGTATATGTCATTCTGGGTTATGTGAACTGCAAATCACATCTAGGAGAATATCTTAATGAAAATTATTATGATTTGCTAATTTTATTCTTAAAATTTTAGAGTTTATTAAAGAAAAATAGAGTATATTCATTATGGAATCTAGAATATATAATTACAAAATATTTTTAAATTATAGAATCCTGAATATATAATTATAAAATAGGATTAAAGCTATGTAAGTTATGATTGAGATATTTTAGTTTTTATAAAATAAAAATGTATTTCATCAGGTAAAATGCTAATGATACAAAACTGAAAATACCTTATTTTTAAACTATTAATCATGTGCCATAACATGCTTATTTTTCAGGTTAAACTTTTTCCGTGATGTCCCTGACTTCAGAGTGTTAGCCTGTGGTGGAGACGGAACCGTGGGCTGGGTTTTGGATTGCATAGGTAATGCAGACACATACTTAACATGACTGGGGAGAGAGCAATAGCTTTAAATCCTGTTTCATCTATGTATCTATTGCTTGTATCATTATCTTTGGAAGCAGTGATATAATTGGACATCTGGAGGTTTGTGCACTATTTACTGGTTTAACATATTATTCTATAGTTCAAAAATTTAACTGGCAAAATAGTTTACAAGTATCTAGAAATCCTTCCTTTCTAATCCACTTCTTACAGTGTTTACCAAATTTTCAGAGTTGTTTTCAAATACGGCTCTAGGAAATCAGATTGTTTGTGTGCCCCAGACAAGGAACTGAAGGAGCAGTCTTAGTATTTGTGATAAAGTCTGTGCCAAATTAATATTCTTACATTATTAAAACATGGACCCTCAAAATCTTACCCTCTGTATACATTCATATCGTTATCATCCACCATCATCATCATCATAGCTAATTTTTATTCATCATGTTGTCTTGTTTATTCCTCACAACTCTATGACACAGATAGTATTAATAATCCCATGTAGAGATAGGGAACCTAAAATTTGGTAAAAGTAAATAACTACAACAAAGTCTTATAGTTGTGAACTGAGAGAGCTGAGATTAGAACCCACAGTTAAACCTTATTCTATGTTGCCTCTCTATTTAAGTTGAAAAAGCTCGATTTTTATAAGCAAACAACACAAGAACATCACTGACAATGTAAGTAAGCAGCACAAGAAAAACTATAAATTCAGGAAAATTATTTGGTTTTTCAGATATAGTCAGTTGTCAGAACTGGTTACTAGTTAGAAGAAGAGATCATGAATAGGCCTTTATGAGGAAATAAATCCAAAACAAATATTGACTCTCTTTGGTCTCATTTCAGTTACTGCATTGATCAATTCTTTGTTTAAAACAGGCCCTTTCATAGAACGAATTGATTCAAAAGAAGTTTTACCTTCTGTATAAATTGAAACAGACACCTATTTAGTCAATGCAGATAACATTCTGTCTTTGCATACGCTAAAAATATTCAAATTAAAAATAAATACATGTTGGCAACACTTTTGATAAGGATCTAACAGCTTTAATCTACTAATATTTGATTTAAAAAGCAACAGTGAAAATTCTGATCTGGCCTTCCATTAAACAATGTAGATGGTATTTACATGTTTTATCTGAGAAGACAACAGAATTCAAGAACTACAAAAGTTAATGAGTTAGTTGGAAAAGTATCTGAGGACTTGTAAGGATTTTAGAGGAAAAATAGCAGGAATTCTTAGCTTGTTTTAGCCCTCAAAATCTTGTCGTTGGCTATTTCATTGTGACATATCCCTACATTATCTAGCCCCTCTATCCTACACACATACATACATTGATTTTGAGGGGCTAAGGAGGAAGAAAAAATAAAAGAAAGTAATATACATTTGTGAGATTAATTCAAGGCATGCGATGATTCAAGCCAAAGCATATGGGATGTCAGCGGCAGAGATCTTTACTGCTCTGAACCCAAAGCATTATGTGATGTAAAGATTAATCTCATGGAAAGCCTGCTGATCTCGGTGTACTCCAGCTGTTAACGTTGTTTTCCGTTTGCTCTGACACAAAGCAGCACCATGGGTGGGAAAAAGTCAAGGACATTGTTAGCAATTTACTCACTTCTATAATTCAACAGTTTGCAAATATTTTATTCCTCTAAGTAAAATGTACCTGGAATTGATGTTGCAAAAGGACTTTATATAGGAACCTACACATCCATCCTAGTTGTGTCTCTGTATTGTAATCTTATGCTGTATATAATAATATCCCTGAGGATTGTAATTGAGACAAGACACACAACAATTTTTAGTTCAGTTAAGATATTTAAAAAGCTTTTCTCTTGCCTGAGTTTTGAAAATTCCATCGTTCTGTGAATAATAGTATTTGTGTTTTATCAATTGCTACAAATGTTTACAAATTATCCATAATTCATTATGGTATATATCTTAAAAATACAATTATGTTTTGTTTATGAGTACCTATTGAAATTCCTTCATTTAATGTCATCAGCCTATCTTTCTATTTCCATTGTTTTATTTGAATTTGAAATTTTCCTTATTTGTATTTTTTTTTATTCTGCAGAAAAGGCCAATGTAGGCAAGCATCCTCCAGTTGCAATTCTGCCTCTTGGGACTGGCAATGATCTAGCGAGATGCCTGCGATGGGGAGGAGGTAAAGCAGCTGCAACAACAAAAGCAGAAACAGTACACAACACCCTTTTCCCTTGCAAAACAAAAAGAAAAAAAAAAACAAAGAAACAAAAACCATATGATTTCAGTGAATATAACAGATGTGGTATATATAATATATCATTTTGAGCAATAGTCTTGGATAGAAGAACAAATAGTGGTCAAAGAGACCATGGGTATTGGGTTTTAATGTGGTATTAATTACAGACTTAAGCTAGACGAGTGCAAGTTTCCAAACATCTCTGGTTTTTGTTTTTGTTTTTTATTATCTGTTTTTATTTTTTGTTTTGTTTTTTTGTTAGAAAATAAGGTACATATGGATGCACTTAATTTTTATATTTTTAATGTATAAGTTTGGTGGTAAAATCACAAAGGAAAAATGAAAGGCTTAACAAATTAGTTTCCCAGGAGTGAATACATTAAATAATACTCAGTTTTTAAGACTCACTCTATGCTAGCCAGCTGTGCTCTGCACTTTGGATACAGAGTTGACAAAATAAAAACAAAAATACCTTAACTTTTAGTGGCACATAAAATCATATGTGAGACTTTACACTAACAAGTAAACAGATGATCATTGTAAGGAAAGACATCACTGAGGATATGACATAGAAAAAAAAAAAAAAAACCTACTAGCTAGATAATGACACAGCCATGTAAAGCTGGGTATGAACTTCATAGGCAGAGGGAACATCGAGTTCAAAAGCCCAAAGGTGGCAAGGTACTTGACGTATTCAAGAAACTGAAACTGAAATAGCGTGGATGGAGAAGGGTAAGCAAGAGAGAATATTTTGAGATGAGGTCTTAAAACATTTTGCAGAGTCACTAATAGGCTATATTTATCTGAAGATAACTGAACACCACCAGATAAGATCACGAAACACCACCAGACTTTGGTAAAGAAACAGGACTTGAATGCTAAATATTTTTAGCATCAAAGCTCATTTAGAGAAGTTTGAAAAGTGTCTACTAAGACAAGGTGAACAGAGTCCCTGGAGAGCTTGTTAAAAATACAGTGGCCTGACCCCACCCCAGACGTGCTGAATGGAAATATCTGGAGTTGGGAACTGAGCAGATGATTTTTTTTTCTTAAACGAAGTCCCTAAGTAACTCTGATTTACAGCAAAGTTGGAGAACAATTCCATGAATATCTGACCAACTAGCTCTAAGCTATGTACATGCTTGACTAAATCAAGAACTTAGTATGTAATCTATTTGGGATTTTCAGTAAGAATATACTTAAGGAGTATTTTCATGAGTTGCATTAGAGTTCATGAAATCTAAAGAAATGAATAAAGACGTCACCATTTCTGATAAGATACTTGTATTTGCCAGTGTTCATACAAGTGCATTGATTGAAAAGAAAGAAAATATGTGTGTCTTCTTGCCATAATCTTCGGTAACATATATTTGATGTATATGAAAATTAGTAATTTGATTTTTGTTTCTAAATTAACAAATGGCCTAAATGTCAAATTTGATAAAGAAGTCCGTTTTTGGCATACTCTAATCATTCCTGTGAAACCGCATACAAAGTACTAACAATGGATAAAGGCAAGGACATGTGTCAAAGTATCTATTAGTGTTGAATTCTCTGTGAGTGTCTGATATGTGTTGGCACTGTTCTAGGTACTAAATATACAGTGAGGAAATAAACAAGTGGCTTCTATCCTTCTAGAGATTACATTTTCATTGAGTATAATGGACAATAAATCAAACAATAATGAAATATATAGTTATAAAATGATATCAAGGAATCAGAAGAAAGAATAATAGGATGAACTATCTAGCTAGATGGGAAAGAAGGTCTCTCTGAGGAGGTAACATTTAAGCTGGACCTAAAATATAAGAAGGAGGAGAAATAGCTCTCTGTGTTTCAAGGACTGAAGGGAGGAATGCAGGTGGGGTTGCTGAAGAAGCAATGCAGTGGTGGGCAATTAGGGGTGGTGAGTATTATGATTTTGGAAAGATAATTGGGAGCCAGATAATGCAGGAATTTGTTTGTTGTTCTAAGGGTTTTATTTGATTGAATTTGGCATGCAAAGTGAAGCTTTGAAAGTCTCAGAAGCAGAGTAACACACTGACACATTTTCAAAACAGATTAATTTGGGGGTAGAAAATAAACTGGTCAGAAAATGTGAAAACATGCAGAACTATAGTTCTCCAAATGAGAACTTCTATTATAGCTGTTCTAATTACATAATAAAGTGAGTAGACTAGAGCTTGCATGATGTAAATCAGGCAAGTAGACAAACTGGAGGTACATATTCAGGCTCAGTTTAATTGTACTTACCAGTGGATTGGTTAGGAATTTTAGGGAAAGCAAGGTATCAAGATGCCCAAGTTTAGCAATTAGGGAAATGAAGATGCCATTTGCTAGAGATTATTAACAAAGAAATATGCTTTACAGTGGGATTATTTCTTGACAGATGTGTAACTTTGAGCACATTACTTAAAAACTGGCTGTAGATTCCTCATCGAAGAAAATAATAGTGCGTACCTTGTAGGTTCTTGTGCTAAACTGATAAATTGTTTGCACAGTGTTTGTATTAGTTTGTTCTCACACTGCTATAAAGACATACCCAAGACTGGGTAATTTATAAAGAAAGTTTTAATTGACTCACACTTCCAAATGACTGGGGAGGCCTCAGGAAACTTACATTCATGAAGGTGAAGGAGAAGCCAAGGCATGTTTTACATGACAGCAGGTGAGAGAAGCAAATGAGCAAAGGGGAAATAGTCCCTTATAAAACCATCAGATCTCATGAGAACTCACTCACTACCACCAGAACTGCATGGAGGAAACCACCCTCATGATCTAATCACCTCCCCCCAGGTCCTTCCCTTGACACATGGGGATTATGGGGATTACAACTAAAAATGAGATTTGAGTGGAGACACAGAGCCAAACCATATCAATGTTTGTGTTAAGAACTTTATGCAGTTGCAGTAATTATTATTATGCTTAGTATTTTTAGAAGAAAGTACTTCATTCCACCATTAATCATTTGGTTCACTTAAGATTCAGGGAATCTTTTGACTTGAAGCCTCTTTTTTATAAGCATATATTTTCATATTTTGGAAAAGTTGACACTGTAAGTCTATAGGATATCCTAGCTTAATTAGCATTATTTTTGTAAATTTCTGGCAATCATTAGTCTCTTAACAACAATTTAATGGCAAGGAAAATCTTGTTAGTGTAAACTGAGGAGGTAAGTAATAGTTGTAAATGGGACACACTTTAATACAAATTTGTTGTTGCATTTCTTTATGTGATTTTCATTTGCAACAATTTCTATGACTTTTTAGATTCAGTCATTATAACATCATATCATTAAATATAAAATAAATATTAATTATGTTTTCATTTTGTTTCTTAGCCTGGAGTGATTACAGGCTTTAAATCAAAATAATAAAAGTAAAATAGCATTGTTCTTTTCTATAAAAATCTTTTGCTGGCATATTTAGTGGATTTGATTTATCTTTTTAAAAATCATGATCTTCTTGGGTATAGGAATCCTATTAATAGTTACACATCATTATTTAACAATCTTGAGCATAGATACATACAAGAAGTAGGGAAAAGATATTTGTTAAATGGGGGACTGCAGTTTAGAGTTCATCTATATGAATCACTTCTGAATTGCAGATGTTGTAATTCTCAAGATTTATTTATTGCCTCTTTCTACTTTTGCTTGGCTAGAAGACAGATTTAAACTAGCCTTTTTCATGTTTAGTCATAAAAATCCCTGTACTCATATCTAATGGTAAAGATTTTAAGCTGAGTGACCCTGCTGCAATCTAGCTGTGGTAATTGATTTTCATTACATTCATTCCTCTCATGTTCTCTCCTGGTTAGGTTGCTGTTCCTACATTGTCCCAGTGTTATGTTGGACAGTGCTGCTATTAACCTGAGACATGACTGAGAACAAATTCAACATTTCTTAAAGCTTTATTATTTACTTGTATTTCTGCTAATTGTGTATATGTATACACATACACACACGATACTCCTGTATTATAATATATATTATTATATGCAAATTAATTTATGTCTAAAAACTATCAAGCTTATTCTGAAATGAAAGCAGAATTTGGAAAATGGATGAATATATTTAAGTGTTTTTATTTAATTCAGTAGGTAAAATAATATATATGTATGTAATTTATTTGTGGAGCTATTACTTCTTAAAAGAAATTAACAATTAGAAATGAATTAAACATTTAGAATAAGGTAGCACTATTAAGAAACATGAAATATTAGTAAATATAATTATCATAATCTTGCAGTTTAAACCATTCAGTGTTTTGCCACTGAGTACAGTTATATGCATATTATTAATACAGCTTCAAATTATACTATAAGACATATGATAGCTTTTGAAATAATATTTAGTGTTTTCAATGTTTATGTAATCATTACTTATTGTACCCTTTACTGTATGTATTAAATAGCACGTAATTACTTTTTAAACCTGTGTAAGGTAAGAAGTGATGATGGGCTCCAGAAGAGGTATTTCTAGTTTCTGGTGGCCTTCACCTTCTAATAGTTAATTGAACAGATACACCTTAAGTGTAATGTATTCCTCTTTAGGGAATTTTGGCATATGAGAGTGCCTGTTTTCTTTTAACCCAATGAGTTTATTCAATGATATGTATGCTAATAGTTCTAATGAGGACTCATAGCCTCTGGCATTTCCTTGTTCAACAATTAAATAATGAACAGAAAAAAGCAAAAACTGAAAATATTGTTCCAACTCAAAATATCATTTTAGGACTGTATGTGTGCTTTTATATGGGTGAAAAGAGAGATGATTTAACTTAGTACAATATTTCAAATTCTGATGGTATCATCATCAGTAGTATAATATTGAGAACTTTCTATTTTCTGTTTTAGGCCTCATGTACTGAGATCTTTTTAAACATTATCTTGCTTAATCTTCACAAGAAACCTAAGGTTTTGACAGGGAAGGAAACTAATGTTGAGGGAGATTAAGAAACAAAAACAGTAACTCTGTCAGGTTTAGGCTGCAGTGATAACTATAATGTTATATACTTACAGGTAAATTGAATATTGAGAATGCAATATTGACAAGACTTTTATTTTCAGGTCATGTTGACCATCTATCATAGATTCATTAAAAAACTGATATGTTGAGCATTTACTCTATGGCAGGCTTAAGAGGAACCTGTAGTGAGAAAAACTCAAGTAACAGCAATGTGGTGTACTAGTTCTAAGATAGGGCCACTTTTGAGAACTGTGTGTAGGGGACTGCATGAGGGGCATCTGAGCCGTTATTTTGAAAGGGTGATTTCCAGAATGAAGTGCTAGCAAATTTATTAATTTTATTTAAATTTATTGTTTTAAAGATGGAATATTGCTCTGTTACCCAGACTGGGATACAGTGGTACAAACATAGCTCACTGCAGCCTGGAACTCCTGGCCTCAAGTAGCTCTCCCGCCTCAGCCTCCTGAGTAGCTGAGACTACAGGCATAAGCAGCAGCACTGGGAAGAAGTATTAGCAAATATAAAGCCGTGCCAAGGAAATAGATGCAAACCAACCAAAAAGAAACGGGGTACCCTGAGTAGATAGAATAAGAAACAAAATTTTAAAACAAAGAGTAGGACCTTTGACCTAAATTGAAAGTTTTATATCACTAGAGGTGAAAAGGTGAGAGAGTAAGAGAGTGATGGAAAGGAAAAAGTCTAAAATGACATCCACATTTTTGACTTTTGCAACTGGGTAGAGAATGATGTCTTTGCAAAGTCAGCTGCACATAAGGAAGATATGGAAGCAGAGAATTCATTCCATTTTGAATCTATTTATATAAAATTTTGTGGGGTATACAGTAGAAATGTTCACTTGGCAGTTGTATATGCTGAGAATTGGCACCACAAAAGAGAAGAGAAATACAGTACGTGTTACAAATTAAAGTTGAGAATTAAATATGGGTATGAGTATAATGTTATAATTAATTCTTCATTTTGTTGTAGAATGTGCTTCAAAATCATTATTTATCTTTAGAATATTACATATGCATAAACACACGGAAACATAAAAATACAGCTTTTTTATTTGGTTGGAGTTCTTTTCTCAAGGTATATTTTTTTTTTCCCCGTCAGGTTATGAAGGTGAGAATTTGATGAAAATTCTAAAAGACATTGAAAACAGCACAGAAATCATGTTGGACAGGTGGAAGTTTGAAGTCATACCTAATGACAAAGATGAGAAGGGAGACCCAGTGCCTTACAGTATCATCAATAATTACTTTTCCATTGGCGTGGTAAGATTTTCCACTAAATTTTACCTTTATACCTATACTGGATAATCACAGTAAGAAAACTTTCACACTATGAAAATTTACTGATTATAAATAATTGATTTTACCTTGTGCCATCAAAACATCTCTTCTAATAGGCAATTATTATTGCTCTAATGACTAATTATTATTTTTATCATCACTTACTAATTTAAAGTCAGAGTATCAGCAACTGACATATTTTTCATGTTTTAAACAAGGAGAAAAAACTATATTCTTTGTAACTGGTTTATTTGTGTTACCAAAATGAAGCTTAGAATGATTTAATATACTTACAAGTTTTAGAGTATAAGCTAAAGCTCCATATTGTTGAAAATGTGAAAATATTGCATTAAATTTTATCTTACTTTGAGATTTATTTTATAAAATCATTATAGCTTACTAAAAATCTAAGAAAAGTCTACAAAAAATCCTGCTACTATTCTCAAGTGATTAATAAGTCAGAAGGCTGACTTTTCACTTCATTTCTTTTAGAATCTTACACAGAGTAAAATATTATTTGGCAGTTGAAATAGTTGTTAAAATTTTAATCCTAAAGGAATAATTTTAACAGTGATTATATGTATTTTTAGCCAACGATTATGAAATCTAAAAATATATAAAGCATTACATTCCATTTAATGTATGTCACACCATGCTAATTTTATGTCATGTCACATCACACACACACACACACACACACACACAGTAAAAGGCTATAAAAAGGCTACTGGAATATAGAAAACATTGGTTGTGTCCATGAACTTAAGAGGTAAGCTACCTGGGTAAGAATCTTTAAGCAAATTATTTAATCTCAGTATCTCAGTACCATGCTGGTTATTATTTCCTCTCTCATAGAGTTACAAATATGATTGTACATTTAAAGAATCTCATAGAATGGTAGATAATAAAGGCTAAATATACAATGGTTACTAATGCTGTAATGACTATTATTATTTGAAAGAAAAATGCAATGTCTCTTGATCCAGAGAAGCCCTCCTATTCACACTGGTGTAAAAACAGTATTTTTGAGGACTGTCTTAGTGTATCACTTACACACAACCTAATTCACTCATTGTAAGTGTACATTTTAATGATTTTAGTAAATTAATCCAGTTTTAGAACATTTCTATTATGCAAATCAGAACCCTCATGCCCGTTTTTATTCAATCTTGGCTGCTTTTCCCAGTTTCAGGAAGGAATTGATTGGCTTTCTGCCTCTAAGATTCGTCTTTTATGGACATTCTGTATTTCAAAATATCCAAAATCTCACAAATAACCGCTAAAGGACTTACTCATGTAACCCAATACCACCTGTATGTATCTCAATAACTTATGGGAAAATAATTTTTTAAAATCACACAATATAGGACTTTTGCATCTGGAGTCTTTCACTTAAGATAAAGTTTTTGAGTTCATTCATGTGAACTGTATAAATACTGTTTTCCTTTTTTGTTGTTGAATAGGATTCTGTTGCATGGAGATATCAGATATTACTTATCCCTTCATCAATTGATGGACATTTTGATTGTTTCCAATCTTTAGATATTAATGATGCCAATCTCTTAAGTCTCTTAGGATTCTTTGTTTGTTTTGGTTACTAGACTTTTTAACTCCTGAATTTCTACTTGGTTCTTTTGTTTATAATTTTGTATCTTTCATTAACATTTTCTATTTGGAGAGTCATTGTTGCTATACTTTATTCTTTAAATGGTGTTTCTTTTAATTCTTTTGACATATTTATAATATATGCTTTGAAGTATTTATCTGTGAAGTCAAACATCTGTGCCCCATCAGAGACCTTGCTTGTTTGCTTGTTATTTTCCTAAATGTGTGACACATTTTCCCATTCTTTTGCATATATCCTTGTTTTTTGTTGAAAACTGAAAATTGTTTATATTTTTAATTCCCTGGATTTTTATTTGCCCACAGTGGTTATTATTGTTCCTATGTTTGTCTATTTAGTGACTTGCCTGTGGAGCCTTTCTTTCTTATGGTGTATATTGCTTTGCTAGAGGTCACCACTGTGTCAAAATGGTTGTCTAGAGATTGTACTCAAACACTTCGAGCCAGTAAGTCTTCTTTTCTTTGTCATCACATCCATGTGTTCATTGAAGAATGTATTCAAAGTTCAGGCAATTAGAAATCACCTTCAGCTTTTACATAGTCTGCCATTTCTTTTTTCTCTTCTGCTCACGTACAAAACCTCTCATTTAACCAAGGATGTGTAGGTAACTAGGATCCTCTTATGTCTCTTCTGAGCATTTGTGTAGCCTTGCAAATCCATACAGATTTTCAGACAGCCAGGAATATATAGAAGTTTATCACAGCCCATATGAACGTTTGATTCCAAGATCTTTTGTTAAATGTCTGGCCAATCTGCTAGTTAATTGCTTGCCCTAGAGTCAGTTTCACAAACTCAGGCTAGCTATAACATTGGCTCTCCCTGTTCATTTGCCACAGATATCACTACTGTAAGTGTAAGCTGTAAAACAATGTTCTAGGCCATAGAGATTTTCTGGCTTCCATTTCAAATCAAGTCAGCTCCACTCATAATGAAGCTACTTGTTTTCTTAGCTTATTCCACAATAAGGACTACAGCACCCAGGGACCTGAAGGCTAAGGAAGCAGCCCAAGACTGAAACATCACTAGAGAGTTCTTATCTGAGGCTCAATAGTTTTTTCTAAATATTTCTCATTTTTTATATGCTTCGGTCAATTTCCAGGGATTCTCAACAGAGAAGAATTTTGCTTCTTCCCGAAGGACATTTGACAATGTCTGCTTGATTGTCATGACTAAAGTAGGTTTTTTGTTTTTTTTTCTTCTAAGTAGTAGGTAAAGTTGGGAATGCTGCTAAATACCCTCACTGCATAGGACAACACCTCAAATACAAAGTAAAGAATTACACAGCTCAAAATGTCAATAGTGTCGAGGTTGAAAAACCCTTATATTAGTAAACAGAAATACACTTGACCTTTGAACAACACAGGTTTGAATTGCACTGGTCAACTTGTAGATACTTTTTCAATAAAAGTTATACCCAGTGTAATTTGCCTCCCCTTTCACCTTCTCCGCCTCTTTTGCCTCTGCCAGCTCTGGAACAGCAAGATCAACCCCTTCTCTTCTTCCTCCCCTTTAGCTTACTCAATCTGAAGATGATGAAGATAAAGACCTTTATGAAGATCAACTTCCACTTAATGAACAGTATATATATTTTCTCTTACTTGTGATTTTCTTAACATTTTCTTTCCTTTAGCTGACTTTCTGGTAGGAATAGAGTATATAATATGTATAACATATGAAATATATGTTAATTGGCTTTATGTTATTGGTAAGGCTTCCAGTCAACAGTAGAGTATTGGTTGTTAAGTTTCTGGATAGTCAAATGTTACACTCAAATTTTTTTGTCTGCAAGAATGGTCGGCGCCCCTAATTCCCATGTTGTTCAAGGGTCAATTCTATTTAAATACAAAAAGTCAAGGTGTTTGAAAAGGAGAAATGATACAAAACCAAAAAACTTGAAAAAGAAAGCTATTATAGAAATGAGGCAGAAAATGGCAGAGAGTAACAACAACAACAAAAATTCATAATGTTGACAAAACTGAAAGCTACATTATTGAGAAAAGTTAATCAGACTTATTGAAAAACTGATTTTGCAAAAGTACTGTAAAGAGAATTATAAGTAAACGATATATGGTGAAAAGGAAAAAATATAACAAGTAATAAAAATAATGATAAATACATATATATATTCCAATTGAAAAAGTATATAATTGAAAATATATTATGACTAGTATGAGAGTATAGCAAATTTTCCAAATACAAAATCAACTTAAATATTCACTAGTATATTCTTATATTAGCAATAATCAATGAGTTTCCAAAAACAATAGCAAAAAAAATTGAAAGTATCTAGGAATTAATTAAAAATACACATTACCTAATAAAGAAAATGTTAAAACTCTCTGCAAAGACACACAAGATCAGAATAAATGGAGATATTTTCTATTCTTATATGAGATTTCTTGATATAATATTCAAATTAATTTATAATTTAATGTATAACTACTCAAGATTGGAGCTGGAATTTATGGCAAACTTATTTAAAATACGTATGACAAAAAGCTAAGTCAATTTTAATAATAAGGGCAGAAATAAATTTGTTTTACCAAATTAGACATGCTACAATCAGATTGGATAATTATAACAGAATGGTCCTATGAAATAATAGATGAATGAATCAGTGAGGAAGTACAGAGACACATACTGGAACTTAGTATAGGGATGGCACTAAAATTCACTGGGGGAATGACAGATTATTTAGTTGATAATGTTCAAAACTAGCTCCCTAGGAAGAAAAATATTTTGTTAGAACTCTACCTCACATTATATAAGTACATGCCAGACTTATTGCAAAACTAAATTTAAAACACATTTAGAAACTAATAAAAACTGTGTGATAGAACATTTAAGGCAGATCAGAACTAATTAAACAAATAAGGTGGCTTTAACTGAGTTTTCTTTTAAAGGGTCTTGTTCCCTTTGACTTGGAGCTCTTTTGGCTGAGCATAATATGGGGATTAGGAGGATGAAGGGAGGAGCCATTCCCCCTGGAAAGATTTACTCCTGTCCCAGGAACACAAAATCTCAGTGCTCAGGGACATAATCACAGCGATAGATCTTCTACCTTGAATGTCATTCAACAAAGTCATCTACTCAGCAACTTGCATTTCCCTTCCTCAATCAATGAATCTAGAATATAATGAAATAAAATAAATTAACTATCTCAAACCATTCTCGAACATATAACAAATAGTGGAGTTGAAGGATTTAAAGTATATGGGATGCATCTCAACTTTATGCTATAACCAGCATGAAAAAGCTTAAGACGAGCACATAGTTTGTACTTGAGATTGTCTCTGGGAACCCTTCTGCTGTCTAGTTACAAAGTGATCTCCAAGTTTGGTTCTACTCTCAGTATTGT